AGAAAATCTGAATCATATAGACACAGGTACATTTTTAGGTAGACATATGTGTAACTTTATAAGAAATTGACAGTTTGTAAGTGGTTGCACCACTTTTTCAGTTCCCACCAGCAATATAGGATTGTTCTGGGTATTTTACATTCTCACCAACATTTGGTCAGTCTGTTTAGTTTTATTAATTCTAATAGACATGTAATGGTAACTCACTTTTGCTTTAATCTGCACTTCTCTGATGCCTGAGGATTTTGAGTATCTTTTTATAGTCTTGTTGCTATCCACGTATTTTTTGGTGAAGTATGTGTGCAAGTCTTTTGTCGCTTATTAGACTGAGTTGTTTCTTAATTATTGGGGTTTTGAGAGTTTTAAAAAGTATATTCCAGATATAAGGTCTTTATCAAATACATGATTTGCAAATACTTCCACCCAGTCTGAAACACTGTGGATTCATTTGTCTGGACTACTCTAACCCAGTTCTGTGTAACTAAGTAAGATTAATTGGTTGGTCATGCGAATCCTCAGATGTCATGGTGACATTGCAGGAGGAGTAGCCACTGAACTGTCACCACCTGTGTACCTTCCTTGAAGATTTCTGAAAAGGCTAGTTGATTTGGGATCTGCTTTTAGGAAGCAATTGTTCAGGAATACACACAAACCAAGAGGGATATCCAAATCCACAGGATTCAGCAGTATCCCTGAGAACCCTGGGAAATCTTGCTCTGAGTGGGGCCACACCTTAGGGACACTCAGCCTGGACCCCTGTGAATCTTTCAGGCACAGGGGGACAGGCTGCTGGAAGGGCTGAGGACTGAATGACCCCGGGGATGCCCTGTTAACAAAGCCTTTTGTCCTGGAGCAGATTAATGTTAAGGCTTTCTCCCTTCCCTTTCAGTGACGCCCACCTCTGCTTGTACTCTCTGTTTGCTTCCCCAACCAATAATCTGAAAAGCTCAGTCTCCCCAAAGTGATAGACAGTTAACTAACTGCATATTCTGTAGGGCAGTATTTTCAAAAATATTCACCAGACTTTATTTATCTAGCCTAGTGTTATTGGTCAGCTCATCCTGTTGCTTGAATATACTTATCCTTAATGGCTGTTAGAGGCTAAAACTTTCTAGCACTTATCTTCTGGTGCACCTATATGCTTGCTTCTGCTCACTGTGTATCAAGAATGAGCCTGCTGGGTCAGAGGATTGCTGTGTGTTCAGCTTTGGTAGACACTGTGAAATCCTTCCAGACGGTTGTACATTCTCCGTGGCAGTGAGTAGGAGTGCTTCTCACTTTACACCCTCACCTGCATTGCTAGTATCTATAATTGTAGGTATTCTGATGACTGTGAGTTGTATTGAATTGTGGTTGGAATTTTATTTATTATTTATTTATTTCTGTTCTTACTAATTTTTTTAATGGTCCAAAGAAATTTGTTGATGTGTTCCTATCCCAGTATATGTGTATTTTGGTAAATATCCCATGTGCCTGCAATAAGAATATATATCCTGCAGTTGCTCAGTAAATGTTCTAAAAATGTCAGTTAGGTTAATTTTGTTTATTGTATTCAAAATTCCTGTATTCTGGATGATTTTTGTTGTTGTTGTTGTTGTTGTTGTTGTTGTTAAAAATACATTTGACTAAGATTGTGGACTTCAATTTTTTCTACAGTTATGTCAATTTTTGCTTTTTGAAATTGTTATTGGATCATAGATATTTAACATGATCATGTCTTCCTGTTGTATTGAACCTTTAATCTCTGTGAAATGTACCTCTTTATATCTAGTAAATCTTAAACTCTCCTTTGCATGCTATCAGTGCTATCAATATAGCTTCACTGGCTTGTTTTCATTTGTGTTTGTAAGTGTAAAAATCTTGTATTTTCCAAAGGCATCCACAATATTTCCCATTCCACTACTGCCCCTTTACAATGAGACTTTGATATTCCTCTGTTGGGATGATGTGCTCTACTTGGCCTCCCCTGGAAACCTTGTGACAATGGAGTACAGAAAACAAGACACTGTGACTTCTGAAGCTAGATCATAAAAAATCGGTGCTCTTCAGTCTTGTTCATTTGGGTGACACTTGTGGAGTTTAGCATCTATACTTTGAGAAAGCTCAGATGGTCCACATGGGATGAGAGCATGGAAAGACCATCCCTTCTAAGAGCTCTGCCCAAGAGCCCAGCAAGTCGCAGCCCAGGCTGCCTCTGTGACAGCAGCCCCTGCTGTGAGTCAGCCTCTGCCTGTCACATCCCTCCAACCCAGGCCTCTGACAATTTAGAAACCCAGCTAACCCCTCTCCACCCCCACCCCGTGCTTGCCCAGGGGCCTAATTACCAACGTGATAACATGGTTGTTTTACAACTCTAAACTTTGAAAGTATGAGCAATAGTAACTGGAACAGTGACATAAATTCTTTTTCCTTCATCGGCCTTTGTGTATTTTTAAGGTGTGTCTCTAAAAACTGGGGTCTGACAATCTTTCTCTTTTAATTGAAACAGCCTGTTTAAGTTTTTATACATTTAGGTTTAAACCTATGTCCTACTTTTTTCTTATTTGTTATGCTTCTTCAGTATTCCTTTCCTCTTTCCTTCCTTGTTTTAGGTTGATTGTATTTTATTCACTTCTTTTCCTTTTTAACTATGTACTAGTTATATATTCTCTTGTAAACATTTCTAAAATTACACCACAAATTGCAACATTCTAGACTTTCCACCCAAGTTTACAGTTTCAGATAACCTTTCAAGATAACTGTTATCAAGCTGAGACAAGAAAGACATGAATCAGAGTTTAAAAATAATATCTAGGAAGAACTTCAGTTGTGATTACTAACACCAGGAGATAGCATGGTCTACATAGATCAGAAACCTATGAATTTTTGAAGGGATCATCTTTTTAAAAGAAACTAAATTTTTAAAAGCTTTTAGGAGCTGGATGTGGTAGCTCGGGGAGGCTGAGGCAGGAGGATCATAAATTTGATCCCAGTCTAGGCAACTTATCAAGAACCTGTCTCAAAAATAATAAAAGAAGGCTAGGACTGCAGTGCATTGCAAGGATTCAGTCCCTATTTACCCTGCACACATGCACGCAAACACACACATTCAAAGGCTGTGAATGGTATAAGCTTTAAAACTCCCCTGGGATTCCCAAATTTCCATGAGCAACACAGTCCGCAAAAGTTATTCCTCCTTCAAGGAAGACATGCTCTGCCATTCGACTTTAAGGTGACTATGAAGGATGACAGGCAAAGAAGCCCAGAGAGAAGAGCCAGAGGCAAGAGAGAGCAACAGATAAGAGAGTTCTTTCAGAGAGCCACATCCTGGTCAAACTGCAGATTCCCTACCTGTGGAACAGACAAGCCCAGGAATCACAGGACTGCTGTATCTCCCCTTTCTCTTTGATGAGAAAGGAACCTCTTCCTGGCCAGAACACAAGGTGTTGTGCCTGAGGAAGAGGATGCACCCCCTGGACACCTGGCCCTTACACTATAGATGCAGTGGTTGCCACATTGGGTTTGTTTCTTTTGGGAGGCAGTGAATGTGCTCTGTGAGTGGGAAGAAGATAACACGGATAGACTGCCTGGAGGGGTGCATTGTGGCTCAGGCGCTGCATTAAGAAATGGATGTCCTCTTTCAGGGACATCCAGGACCTTTCCCATGGACCCTATTTCCCATCCTCCCTTGCAAGAAAACTTGGCCTTGCTGAATTCTAGACAATGGAATATAAGTGGGAGGGAAGTGGCCATTTTCAGATCTGGCCTTTGAGAGCCTCCTAGGAGATTCTCTGTGCTGTCTGCCATTTTGTCCTGATGCCATGAACACCACAACATTAGGAGTCATGCTTCCAAACTGTGGACCCCTGAGACAGAAAGGGCCTCACCTCCTGCATCTCTGCCCAAGTACCTGGTTTGCAACTTATTACAGTGAGAAAGCAGTACCTGTTTGATACGGCAGCTAGTATTATCCTACTACACAAAGTTGTCACACCCCAACCGCACACAAAGCTCTCTCTAACCTATCACAGGTATGCAAGAGGTGAGGGATATAGTTTAAGTCTCAGTCATGATAGTTTTTCTAAGTGGAAATGTAAGCTGAATATCAAGGGAGAAGTCTGTGAGCTCCATCTGGGAAAAGGGCCCAGGCTCCAGTCTTTCTGAAGCGAGGTAGCCCCTGGAACCCCAAGGGAAGGAGGCAGCAAGTCTCCAGGAGAACAGAGGAAACAAAGCAAACAGAATTGTGGATACTTAGAATTCTTCTCATCCATTCGGCGACAGAGTGCTGATTAGAAGTCAGGTCTCTGCTATCACTGAGGGCAGAAGACGGGGCAGGCACACACGCCCTAATGTTTTAGCAGACAAGGGAGAATGGGTTTCTTTAGCCTTATGGTTTTTCTGAGAAATTCACACCAATTTTACATCATCTTATATCTCAATGTTTTTAATGGAAAAGGAAGTTTTAAATTATTTGCCATAAAATAAAGAGAACTGTCCAGGAAGATGTTTATCCACCCGTAGACACCCTGCTACTTCTCCCCAGGCAGACTTAGATCCCAGAAACAGTTTGATCATGGAAGCAAAATTATTTTCATATTAAGGCCGGGCCTGGGTCTCCCCCTTCCTGGTCCCTTTTCCTATAGTCCCTGGCCTATCACCCCCACATCCAGCTCCAATCCTCAGAGTCAAGCCTGAGAGAAGACCCACCAAATCCCTAGTCATCCTCTGAGGCTCTGGCCAGCACCCTCACCTTCAGGAAGCTTCCTGTGGCCCTTCCAAGACCCCTGGTTCCCTGCCCTGGCCCACTGTCGCCTGGCCCCTAGCACTTGCCACGGCCTGGTGCTGTTAGTCTCTTTGCCTCCTCCAGAAGGGAGGATGCCTGGAAGTACTCAGTCACATTACTGCATGAGTGAGCATAGGTAGTGGCTCTGTGTCCCCGGGGCCACTCCTCACCGTGCCCCCAGCACCCTCTGCAGTAGCCACACCTTTGGGGCTGTGAGAGCTCGGCTGTGCACACTTACTGGCTGGGTGAAGGGCTCCGGAGGTAGCGGGCCTGCACTGCCCTCACATCAGCTTCCTCTTCCTCACCCGGAACCACCTGCTCCTCCTCTGGGTCTCCACTGGTCGCCATGACGGCCTGTCAGCCTCTGTCAGTTTGGCAGGGGAAAGACGGTTAGGGAGTCAGGTTCCAGAGCTTTGTAGGGTGACAGGATGTGTCCTAATGTCACCTTGGGAATGACAGTGGGAAGGCTGCCACATGTTAGTACCTGAGCAGGTAAAGGACCCAGCCCAGCTGGTGTTAACGGGACACCAAGACCCTCATGCTGGCTGGGTTAGCAGCCACCCTAGAGATACAGTGTTTAAGAAGGAACAACTTGGCTCCTTTCACAGTTGCCAGCAAGGAGGCAGTGAGGGGAATCAGTCTCCACTATGGCAAAGGAGGTTGAAGGATAATTAATTCCTCAGACTAGAAAGATCTTCTGTTGAAATTACAGGGTTTGCCTGGGTGCACACACACACCAACGTGCACACCTGTTGTCTCCACAGAGAGAGGTGGCTCTGGCCTTCCTCAGTGGATCTAATGGAGGCCATGGGAGTCAAGGCCTTTGGCTCAGGTGCCGTTAAGCCACACAGAGTCCCCAGCAGCTGGTCTCAGATATCCCAGTGGGCTTCTACTGGGCACAGCAGAGCTGCCACCCCTTTCCTAGTGAGTTGGGGCTCTTGGAGACAGAAGGAGAGAGAAGCACACTCACCACCAGCCTGCCCGTGTGTCCAACCCTGGGGCTGAGGTCCCAGAAGAAATGGCCAGAAGCTCCGAACAGTGAGAGGGGACCCAGCACTCATTCCTCTCCTCCCGGCTTCCTTTCTGAGGGGCAGGACAGCTGCTAACAAGAATAACCACTCTCTAAATTTAGCCTCTGGCCCTGCAGGCTGGCGGGAAGGAATGCAACTCTCAGGACCTTCCTAAAGCAGGCCTCCCTTAACTCTTTCCCTCCTGCCTGGCTCCCTGGACACTTAACCTTCAGCAGTGGAGCTGGAAGAAACTCACCCTCTGTGAATGAAGAGGCCAGAGGAGACAGTTTCCTCTGACTGCTCTCCACGTCCTCCCTCCTGGGGCTGCCTACTCAGAGTTCTTCGAGAAGACAAGCTAAATCCACTGATCAGAGGGAGTAAATGAACTTACCTCAGCTCCTTGGCATCTTAGAAAGGCCTAGAAAAAAGCCCAATACGTAGAACAAGGAGGGTCCACAGATAGATAGATAGACAGACAGAGGACAGGGAACACTGTGGTGATCAAAGGGCAGTTATTGCATGACCCTAGGATGACATTTCCTTTAACAGAAATATCTCTTCTCAGTAAACTGGGCAATTGTGCTTCCCCTCCATATCCCCTACCTGTATTCCACTCGTAGCCCTTGGTGACAGACAACTGACGAGCCTGGGTGACAGAAATTCCCTGAACTTCATCATAACCAATCCTGCCTCACTACACTCCAGTCTCCGTCATTATTATCAAAACAAAACCCACACCCTCTTGTCCTACGCATTTACAATTACTCCTTTATTCATTCTTCTGTCCGTCCACTAACTGGTCCACCCATTTGCAAATATTTGTTGATTACTTACTATGCATCAGGCACAGTACTTGACCAAAATTAATAAGACGCATAGCTTAAAATTGTCTTTCTTCTCAGCTAGACGGAACAATGCCCAGCAAATAGTGTCCTTAGAAATTGGCTGAATGAATGAGTGAGCTCAGCATTTATTAAGAGGAACATGATTACTTACTATGCATCAGGCACAGTACTTGACCAAAATTAATAAGACGCATACCTTAAAATTGTCTTTCTTCTCAGCTAGATGGAACAATGCCCAGCAAATAGTATCCTTAGAAATTGGCTGAATGAATGAGTGAGCTCACCATTTATTAAGAGGGACGAGACACAGGTCAAAAATAACCCATGCATCAGACAGAATGAAGTTAGGGGCCTAAAAGAGATCTGGAGCGCTGTGTGAATTCAGAGGAGGGAGAGAGTCCTTTGGATGGAAAAAGTCAGGAAAGGCTGCATGAAAGAAACAGCAATACATGGTGGGCTGGCTTCTAAAGGACAAGTTGGATTATAATAGCTGATATAGCAGGGGAAAGGAACTACATAGGGGACAATGTGGACACATTTTTGGACTAGGAAAGTAGTAAGAGTTGTGGGTGTGAAAAGTCGTATAACTGAGTCAAAGCCTAAGCTACACATTCTGGAAGATAGGAAGATAGGTTGTAGAACAGATGCATGAATGCCTTAAAGGCCAATTTAAGGAGCTGGATTTCACTTGTTAGGTCCTGCAGAGTCAGTGATAGGAGCAAAGCAGAGAAGTGATGACCTCAGGGCAGTAGGGTAGGAAGAATGACTTGGCAACAGTATTATAAGGTGTTAGGGCTGAACAATTATTACACACAATAAAATAACTCAACAAGGTGGCTGAGTAAAATGCAATAGCTTTTGTACATCAAACAAACCTAGTGTAGCTCAGTGGTGCCACGCCTGCCTGGCAAGGGCAATGTCCTGAATTCGATTCCCACTACCAAAAAAAGAAAAAACAAAAACAAAAACCAAACAAACGTAGTAGCCACAAAGTATTGATAAAATAATTTATGTGGGAAATTCTGAATCCATAGCCCAAATAAATAATGGGGAAAGGATTTACAATACTTATCACATCCAAAAGTTTCCCTAATGTACAAAGAGCTACAAGAAATCAACAAGCTAAATACCAAGAACCTAATATGAATATGGACAAGTGAATTACCCAAACTCACACAATGAAATATGCTGCAGTACAATATGAAGTAGGTCTGAAAAATACGGTGACTGTTTATATTTTTTAAAATTTATTACAGTAAAAGACACAGTGCAGTTAAAGCCTCTCAGAATACTCCTCCTTACTTTGAATTTACTTATCCCAACGTTCTTGCCACTTTCTGAAGCAGCTCTGGAAGTCCTCCTTTGTAAGTATTTTTAGTTGTGTTGTCACGGCTGCCTTGATGTCTTCATTTGATTCAAATATCCATCTTTCTTGGTCGTTTTGACTTTGGGGAAGAGCTGCAAGTCGCATGTTACCAGATCTGGTGAATCAGGTGGATGAAGACAAAACCTTGTGTTTTTATGAGCCTCTTTTCTGTTGGATGGCACTCGTCAGCAGCATTTACCATAGTTCTGAACATATTTCATAAAGACACTAACATATTTTGCTAAGTGGAAAAAAAAATTTTAAACTATTATAAAACAGTGATACACATACTTATATATAAAATATCTCTATTATAGCTATATAATATATAGATAACTATATATTATATAGATGTATAATATATAATCATAGATATATAACCATGATATATAATATGTATGGAAGAAAGTACACCAGTGGCTATTCCTAGAGTTTCCCACAAGATTTATCACACTTTAGGTAGGGTGACCAGGGTCTCAATTTGCTTGGGTCTGAGGTGGTTCCCAGAACATGACACTTTTGGGCTAAAAGCCTGGACAGTCCCTGAAAGACTGCCATAGGGTGGCCACATTATCTCCAAGATTATCTTCTTTGTTTACTCGGACATTTGCCATTTCCCAACCAAATTATAAATTCTCAGGGAAGGGGCTTCCTATCCCCTCGGCAAAGGTGTGTCTGTCTGGGTGTGGGGACTGGGACGAGGATGGAAGTAGATCAAGTCCTGTTGGGCCTCAAAGTATTTAAGAAACACTAGCTTGGAATCCCACCCTTTTATAATACGGCAGCAGCTTCTGTCAGTTATGAGAGAGGCCCACACCTTAGTGTGAGGCCCAGGACTTTGTACACCTGCTCACTGAGAAGGCAGGGAGATGACTGGCCCCAGAGTACGTAGGGAAGGCTCCTCTTGGACCTTCAGAGCAGTAGGTGGAGCACAAGCCCAACCCCACAGGTGAGTTCATGTGCCAGTCCAGAGGAGGGCGGGTCCGGGGGCCAGGCTGGGCAGAAGTGGACAGAACAAGGAGAACTGCGGAGACCTTGGGCTGGCTAGGCCACCAGCTGGGCTTGGAGCAGAGAGGGAGCAGATCACAGAGTGAAAGATGCAGCCTGCGCTGTGGATGCTGTGTGCAGGTGAGTGAGCCCCACTCTCAGGCAGCACCCAGGGGTGGGTGAGACATAGGGACCAAGGGTAGAAGGAAAGGCTGCTGGCCAGAGCTACTTATTCTCTGTGCCAGGCCAGTGCCCAGACTAGAATGGTTTCATTTGCATATCAGTAAATAAAACCCCAGCCCTTTGCTGTCACGAAGAACTCAAAGCACCTCAAGACCATTTTTTCCCCCGTGCCAAATTGGATCATAATGTTACCAGGTTTTAGGGTGCTAGAATCTCCTTGGAGAGTTGGTTTCTAGGTTCTTCCTGTTCTGAACAAAGAATTGGTCGAGGCAAGTGCGAAGGTAATAATGTTTCACATTTACTAAAGACAGGAAAGAAACAGGCTCTGAAGAGTGAATTTGGGCCAAGTAAAAGTAGGAAAAAATTATACTCTACAGGAGAAAGTAGTCTACAGTGAAAGAACACAGTAGCAAAGAGCTTAGAGTCCAGGGTCCTTTTGTACCACCTGTTCCTGGAGGTGACACCAGGTTTAGGCTGTCCTATGAAAAACCTGCTCGAGCTCTCGAAAGAAGTCCATGTCAGGGCTTCAGGAACTGTTCTGTTCATGTGTCCTGGGGTTTTTTAATTAACCGGTCATGCCTATTTCCCCCACCAGCTTTGCCATGCCCTGATCTCCTATCTCACTGGGTCAGATATCACAGCTGACTGTAGGGACAAAGTATTTAAATCCAGGGGGTCCTAGAAGATGTATCTAAATACATTTGCTATCTAGACTTTAACTGTTGCCTTAAAACCAGAGAAAGACACAATGATAACAATGTTAACATGTATATAAAACCCCAGCCCTTTGCTGTCACGAAGAACTCAAAGCACCTCAAGACCATTTTTTCCCCCGTGCCAAATTGGATCATAATGTTACCAGGTTTTAGGGTGCTAGAATCTCCTTGGAGAGTTGGTTTCTAGGTTCTTCCTGTTCTGAACAAAGAATTGGTCGAGGCAAGTGCGAAGGTAATAATGTTTCACATTTACTAAAGACAGGAAAGAAACAGGCTCTGAAGAGTGAATTTGGGCCAAGTAAAAGTAGGAAAAAATTATACTCTACAGGAGAAAGTAGTCTACAGTGAAAGAACACAGTAGCAAAGAGCTTAGAGTCCAGGGTCCTTTTGTACCACCTGTTCCTGAAGGTGACGCCAGGTTTAGGCTGTCCTATGAAAAACCTGCTCGAGCTCTCGAGAGAAGTCCTTGTCAGGGCTTCAGGAACTGTTCTGTTCATGTGTCCTGGGGTTTTTTAATTAACCGGTTGCCTATTTC